ATATGAATCTGTAAGAAGAAAGAGGCAGAGGAGATGTCCTCACCTTAACCTCATCCACTGCAAACCCGAACTATACCTTCTCCACCGTCTTTCCCCACAGACGACTTCATGCCCCTTTTCCAATTGGAACCACCATAGGCCGTGCCTCTCGAATTACAAATCCCACCACAACCTCAATCCCAACAAACCTATTCAATGTCGCCCTCATTCACTTACGGTGAAAAGTAGCATTCGTTTCGTCGCGGAAACCTCAAGGCCACACTGTAAAACAGGTTCAATACTGTCTGTCGGCGATGCCCAACTGCTTCTCCGGCAAATATCGTCATCCAGTGTTGTCGCAAGCGGATGAACCTTCTCCAGTAGCTGGGAAGAGGGAAAACGAGTCTTGGTGAAGAGGACGAGAATGAGGAGAGGAGAACGAAGAGACCGATCAGGTTCACCGGAAGCAATGGTAGATTCAGGAAAAATTATTCGGAGGTCACATGTAAAGTTCACAAACATTTCTTAGACATATAATAGTCTTAAAAGTTAACTATAGTTCTATCATTCAAAATTTATAGAACAAATTATAATTGTCCACAAGGCATTGTTCATATTTTGAAGATGCATTAATTTATAGTTTCATTATCAATGGAAGAAAAAATATTGCTTTCAATATAAACCACCATGCTCCATTCAGTTATGCAATTGACTTTTAACAATATTCATAGCGAAAAATGTTTTCCGCACTAATGCTGTAGCAATTGGTAAAATCAAAGTCAATGTGATTAGCAAATACATATAATTATATACTATATTCCTTCCCGTCTCTGCCATTTTTTTTTTGCAAGACTACTAATTTTTTTCAATTGAGAAAATTCATTACTTGAACGCATATCTAAAATCTAATGCCCAAGTTAATTTTTTTTTTTAAATAATAAGAACGGCAACAACTCATTTTGTCAAACAATTGAATGACATGTATGAATAACAATTCTTTCAAGAGGGCAGAACTCAAGTTATCCATGGATATTCACTGCAATTTCGAGGATCAGCTTCCCTTTGCCCCTTAATCGATTCACCTGTGGGAGGAAGAGAGAGTGAGATTCAAGAGGGTGGCGCTGTGCGAGGTGGTCTTTTTATTTTTATTTTTATTTTTTTAAAGTTTATTTAAATGAATTATTCTTTAAAATTTGTTTAAATTATGTGGAATTTGGTAAGCCAAAGTTACACCGGTTCACCAATTAATGGAGTAGGGTTTTTTTTTTTGGTCGAACAATTAATGTACGTATGGTGACCTTAAAATCAAACTATAGGTCTGAGCAGGAGATGAGAAAAGTAAAAGGGTAAAATACAAAAAACTACCTCAACTATTGGTGTCACGACACTTGCATACCTTATTTTTTAAAATTGACAATGTCATACCTCATCTTTAAAATTTATGTCAATGTTATACCTTCCGTTAGCTTGGCCGTTTATTTCTCAGTTAAATGCTGACGTGACTTGATCCGGGATCTATTTTTTATTAAAAAATTAATAAAAAATTATTAAAAACAAAAAAAATTATTTAATATTATTTAAATATTAAAATAATAATAAAAAGTACATAAAAAAATAAAAAATAAACCTCCCTTTCGTCCCTCCCTCCTCTCTCTCTTCCCCTATCTTCCTGCAACCCCAGAAAGAAGAAGGAGGAAGAAGAAGAGGAAAAAAAAAAAAAAAAACCCGAAACCAAACCCAGTTCGTCCCCCCAACACAAACCCAACCTCCTGCAACCCAGAAAGAAAAAGGAGGAAGAAAAAGAAGAAACAAAAAAAAAAAAAAAAAAACAACCCCAACCCAACCCGAAGGAGGAGGAAGAAGAAGAAGAAAGAAGAAAAAAAAAAAAAAAAAATTGGGAAACTCGTCCTCCCTCCCCCCAAGGCCCCCAAAACACATACCCACCCACCCTGCAAAAGAAAAATAAGAAGAAGAAGAAGAGAGAAGGAAAAAAAAAAAAACAACCCAGTTCGTCCGTCCCCCCCTAGGAGGAAGAAGAAGAAGAAGAAGAAGAAGAAGAAGAAGAAAGAAGAAGAGGAAGAAGAAGAAGGAAAAGAAAAAAAAAGGGAAAACTCAATTTGTCCCCCCCCCTCCCCCACATACCCACCTTGCAAAAGAAAAACAAGAAGAAGAAGAGAGAAGAAAAAAAGAAAAAAAGAAAAAAAAAACCCAGTTCGTCCGTCCCCCCGCACCTACCCTCTTCCCTCCACACCCATTCCCCCCCATTTTCCAGATTCCACCTTAACGGATTTGGGTTTTTTTTTTTTTTTTTTTTTTGGATTGCAGGTAATGGGTGCGAGGTTGGGTGCAGAGGGTGGGTGTGGAGAGTGGGTGCAGGGAGAAGAGGGGGTGGGGAGCAGGAAAACAAATTGGTTTTTTTTTTTTTTTTTTCTCTTCTTTTTTTTCTAGGTTGCAGTTGTAGAAAGGGGAAGAAGATGAATATGGGGAGAAGAGAGAGAAGGGGGGAAGGGAACTGATGTTGTGACGTTGGTTTTTTTTATTTTTATTAATGTACTTTTTTTATTATTTTAATATTTAAATAATATTAAATGATTTTTTTTGTTTTTAATAATATTTTATTAATTTTTTAATAAAAAAAGGGTTCCGATCAAGCTACATCATCATTTAACTGAGAAATAAACGGCCAAACTAACGGAAGGTATAACATTGACACAAATTCTAAAGATGAGGTATGACATTGTCAATTTGATAAGGTATGAAAGTGTCGTGACACCAATAATTGAGGTACTTTTTTGTAATTTACCCAAAGTAAAAATAATAAAATGCAATTTTTGTAAGACTTGAGTGTGGGTATTGAAACTTACCTTTTTCAACAACTTAATATAAGTTATAAAATCTAGTTGACTGAATCACAGAGTTAGATCAAGACATCATCTTTTTTTTTTTTTTTTTTTTTTTTATGTTTTAACAAACGATAGTTCTATACTAAGAAAAGATGATGAGTTTAGTCTCACAATGTGTTAACAATAATGCGATTTAAATTCGTTTTTGGTAAGAATGAAACCTAAGACCTCTCATTTACAAATGAAGAGAAATAACACTAGATCGTAGTACTAAATAGCAAGACATAACTTATTAAGTTTTTTTTTTTTTTAAATAAAAGAATAACTGATGGTAAGTTACGGTTATCTATCTTTTCTGAAAACCGAAAAGATCCACGTAACTTATTAAGTTTGAATATTATAATAAATATCTATTTGGCGACTAATCCCAGTTATTAAAGAAAGAAGCGTACAATCCCGTAAGTGCTGAAAGAATATTTCATAGAGTGACAAGGACCTAAGTATCTATTTGACCAAATAAAATCTTCTAGAGCGGGGCCCTTATATTTTATTGAGAAAAATACAAATTTTGGCGTTTTGGGAATCTCCGTCTTTAGGAGGGTTGGCACGTACCTGTCGCCTTCAAGGAAATCAGAAAGAAGAGAAGAGAAGAGAAGCAAAGGAGCAACAAAAGACAGATATCGGTTAGAATTATATGAGATTTGTAAGTGCAGCACTACGACTTAGTTTATATTATCCCTGGTTCGATTTGTATTTATTTCTTTGAACTATCAAAATCCCAGTTACGAGCAACATCCGTAATTCGATTGAGGACATTTCCACAGATCCAAATTATTAGCCCTGGTTCAATGACATCCTAAATTAGGGGATTGGTATGATTCGGTTTCACACAAAAAATTGGATTGGTCCAGTTTTGACCAATACTAACATTAAAATTAAACCAAACCAAATCATAGTTAATTGGTTTGATTCGGTTTAGTTTGGTCAGTTTAAACCTATTCAACACATAAATAAAAAAAGATTCAACATTTCAAGAGTTTTAACCTTCTAAACGCCACACATCGCATGCATTCTAATTCTATTGAAAAATTAAGCTTTTTAGAATATAAAAAGTTCGTCAAGTGGATAGAAAGAAGTTCCAATTAAATAAAGTCTCATGCCAGAAAACGATTTTTTAATTATAACCTCACATAAAATTCATTTAAATCACCTAATTTGATAGTCATTACAACTTATAATATGTTGAGTTGAGTCAATAGTCAATCACGAAAGTATTTATGTTCAATTCACGTTAAATCCAAACTTTTATCCAAATGAATTAAAAAAAAAAAAAAAACAAATAAAGAGTGTCTAAAAGGTAAAACGAAATATGTGGATGGCACCACCACCTTATTTTAATGGGGTTGTGCGCAGGGAACAGACTCTTCTTTTTTAGACACAAGTCTTCTTGGGCATGCACTTTGATTACAAATTCACAAGTTCTCTATCTTCCTCACGAGCTTAGCCCGATATACGGCGGACAACCGGGCGGAGGCTGGTGAGGGCAGTGTCATCGTAGGTTGCACCCAAGAGAGGGAGAGATGGCAGCGGAAGGTAGGAGATTTGTCGGAGTCGGAAAAGATTGCATCGAGCGATTGTGGGAGCAAAGCTCGCAATCAACACAGTAAAGAACAAGCATGGCAATAAAGATATAACAACTCTATCACAAGCAATCAAAGTCAAAAGCCATAAGATACTATCTATACTTCGGCGCAGACACCGAACGCTGCCGGCCACAAACCTGCAGATCCAGATTCCACCATCTTATGGCATTTCTAAGAAATTATCACTGTTTGCTCCAAACCAGTGCATTTGATTTGAAGGAGTTTCACAAATCATAACAATCTAATCTCAAAGTTCAGCCTCATGAAAACATCAACGAAATGAACGGGATACCGAAGGGCGTTCATCGCTACAATTAACGATCCAATCAAACCACGTATCTAACAGCAACATAACATGCTAGATTCAGTAAAGATGCATAAGTAAGAATGCACCAGTATAATATGCATACGCTCCAAACGCAGAGAAACATTTAGATTTCACATTACCTACTACTTCCCAACATTTGTTCATCATACAGGCACAGAAAAATAAGCAGAAAGCACTACAAAGACGAAAATTTTGAACAAAGAAGAGTAAAGGAAATTAATTTTGTTAGACATCAGAGCATGACATAAAACAACCCCTAAAGTCTTGGACGAGAGCGGAGAGAGAGATCTAACTCAAAGTGTTTCTGTTGCTAGACAGCCAAGTATGGCATAAAAGCGCCATTAGTCTAGGAATTAGGTTTACAAATATACAGAAACCTTAGCATCTCTCAAACCATATATATGAGGACACCATACACATCATATAAGCCTTTATTCAATGCGTAATAATAAAACACACGCATAACGGTCACCCAATTCGAAGGTAGATAGTTAAGTAATTCTTTTACCCTGACCATCCTCTCTGAGGAACCCCAGATGGATGTGCATTCAACCTGTCAATCACTGCATTAAAATCAACGGGTTGACCACTTTCTTCCATCCTCTGAATCACACTCGCAACGTGATCACTCCTGAACCCCATGGGAACCAATTTCTCAATCAACTCATTGTAAGGGTGGTTGTGCGGGAATTGTGGATTCCGAGCCATAAGATTTGGAGCCGTTGTTGGCTGTGGCGTATGGTGAGAGATACTCGTAGGAGGATATCCATAATGGGCAGAATATTGAGTTCTACCCCCTTCACTGTCATAGACCATATATGTACTCCCAGGAGGAAGTGCAGGATGAGGGCCAGCAGCACCATATCCCTCACCAGGTTGAGCTCCAAAAGCCCCCTTGATTTGCTGAGGTGGAGGCTGCTGTTGCATTGTTCGACCAGCTCCACCATATCCAAAAGGCATGGGATCAGAACGACCAGATCCTGGTTGAGGAATGTTGGAATATGGCACTTGCATCGGCATACTGTTTGGTGCAGACTCTGGAGGAGATGGGTTTGTTTGTTGACCAGGCGGATAGGGGTAGACATTTGTTGGTGGTGGCCTCATCTGGGGTTGCATAGAGGGCTGTTGTGGAAATTGCACCTGCTGACTCTGTGGTAATTGCTGCTGATACTGAGGGAACGACTGGACTTGTGTCTGATTCAATTGCGATTGTGTTGGCTGTGGTGTCACCCTTGGCATTTCTTGCACTTGGGGGTTTCGATACTGAGAATCAGGAGGCAAATATTGATTCTGTGGATGTGCTTGAGGTGGTGGATTTTGTAGCTGGGTTGGTAAATAATATGATTGTTGCTGAGTCACATTCTGAGGTGGGGGCTGCGTGGGAGCTGCCACAGGCTGCTGCTGTGGTGCCACTTGATGGGGCAGGGCTAGAGCTAATTGCTGGTTATGTGTTTCAGACGGGTTGTCAGCCTTTTGAGCATCAGAGGTATGTGGTGAAGCTCTCTCCTCATTGGATTGGGAATGGATTGATGATCCAGATCCTTTCTGTGCAAGCTGAAGCTTAGCTAATTCTTTCTGAGTCTCCGCAAGTTCTTGCTTGTCCCTTAGGATCTGGACAGACCTATGGACCTGAAGTCGGCATCAGAAAAAGTTCAATGACTGCTAAAATCATCTCTAAAAAGCCAAACTGATAAACAGTGGGTGGAAAGATGCACTACATGTTAAGAAGATGTGAACAGCCTGGCCCAGTTACTAACAACATAATAGAGCGTGAGAGAAGTAAAATATGCAAAATCCTTGGGTACAGAAGAGAAAAATCAAGATAAGATATACTGGGCAGGAAGAAAAAGACTAGTACTCATAAATTGACTTTGAACATCTCACATTCAGATTTCATCCGAACTCTTATTCCTAAAAGACCTATAAAATCACATTCCAAGCCAAACAAATTGACCATAATACCATCTGAAATGCTTAATTTAGAATTATAACTCACTTCTTGAAGATGTTTCTCAAGAGACTTGAGCTTTGAATCTGCTTCTTCATGATCACGACCTAAATCAGACCGCATCTCACCAATTGACTTATCAAGATTGTAGCAATACAATTCCAGCTGCGAAAGCCGTGAACTAATTCCTTCAAGAAAGCGCATGAGATTGTCGGCATACTTTTTCATGCTCTTTTCGACAGTAGCAATTACATCCTGGTGAAGAGATTCTTCCGGCTGGCTATAGGCAGGAGAAGAGAACATTGATTGTCTCGACATTCTACTTTTATGAAAATCCTGCCATTGGTATAGTGCAACAGCCACTAGTTAGCAAATCGAATAGGTTCAAACCATTTTAAGACTCGATAAACAGCGCGTATTAGGGTCCAAAGTAATGGCTCAAGATTTATGATTACAATATATCAACACGGAACTTCGAGTTTAAAGCGTCGTCGAACAAGAAGTTTGTTAATAACGAATGGTTTCCCAATGTGCAAAAATTAATCTTTTGAAGGGAAATCAAATAATTTTCAAAAATCTTAAATTCCTTTCCTTCCTTGGTATTGAGTTGCAACTTCAAAATTCAGAGCCTTACCAATCCAATTCATACCCATTTAATAAAGTTCAAAAAATTAAAAAGTAGAAACAAGAACCATCTAAAAAGATAAAACAAAACCCAGAATTTACCCAACTCCGCATACGATTCGAAACCCTAAATTAACAAAAATATAAACCTTAAAATCCCACAAAATTACTGCTCAGTCAGCTAATCTCTAGATCCATCCAAAAGGTAAGGGCAGTAACAGTACCTTCCCGGGATTATTCCCCATGACTGGTTCGCTGTGGTTGCCATTGGAGGAGTCCTGGTTGCCGTAGTCCTCGTAGGAGCAGAGAATGTCGTCCGACCCGAAATCGAATCCCTGTGACACCGGGTTGCCCCGACCCGATGATCCAGTCGCCATATTGGAAATGATCGCAAGTGTAGAGAGAGAAAGTAAGGGTTTTCGTAGAGAGAGAAAATTCGAGATGGAGAAGAAGATAGGAATGAAAAAAGAGATAGAGACTTAGGCGTTTGGTTTTGGTTTAGCCTGCAGAAGCAAGTTTCGTGGAAATAATCCAAATAATAAATATGATTTAATAAAAAATTATCCATTACTTTTATTTTATTGATATTTTAATTTAAAATAAGAAACACGAGGAGTATGGTGTTGGAGCTTACGGTAAGATAAGGATGAGTTGAACCGACCATGCTTTTTGATTTTACAGATATGGGTTTATAAAAAGTCCACTTTACAATATGGTCCTTTTATTTTCTAGAAATCCCAAATCTCTCCATTACTCGAGATTCTAGACTTCCACGAGTTTCGGCCCACAAAGCACGAAACCCAGCAGGCTTTAGACAAACTATTAATTCAGCCCAATTTGATCCAAATGGGCCGTTGAACTTAGGGTAGGCCAGCATTCAGCCTATTTCCGTTGGGCTTCCCACTGTTTTTATTCGAAAAAATTCTAATTCTTGTCGCTGGACATCCTAAATTTTTTAATGACCAGTTTATCCCATGTTAAAGGGGAATTTAATAGATTATAATTTATGGATTTTTATGAAGTTTAATTGATTTGTAGAGATTCCATATAAAGTTTTGATTCAATTCCCTTGAAATCTCATAGGAAGAGATGAGATCTGTGGATGCTTAAAATACACAATGAAATATCTATAGTTCCCTCAAATTCCTCAACTTTTTCAAATTATTTGAAATTACTTTCTAATTGAATACATCTGGAATGTTATAAACTTTTTTAAAATTGTTATTGAATACACCCGGATTTCTAAGGATTTTAATAAACTATTTCAAAATCTTAATTGAATGCACTTTGAATATCAGAGAATCACTTAAAATTCTGATTGAATACCCTTAGATTCATTAAAAGAATTGAAATCCCTCAAATTCACAATTGAATACACCACTCTTAATATTTCTTAGTATTTAACAAAATAGAAAATGTAAAATCAAAAAATGAAAAGAAAAGAAAGAGGGAGGAAGTTGTTGTCCAGAAACCTAAACCCAACCTTCCCCTCCCACGTTCTCTCTCTCAAATTTAGGTTTTTCTTAGGCATGTTTTACTCGTGACATTCAAGCTAGAACGTATCTTTAACATCCAGATCAAATAGAAATATTGTCACATCCCGGCCCGGGTGGGACCACTTCCCGGGCCCGCTCCACTACTGTAGCACGATATTGTCCGTTTTGGGCCTCGACCACGCCCTCACGGTTTTGTTTCTGGGAACTCACACGAGAACTTCCCGATGGGTCACCCATCCTGGGAGTGCTCTCGCGCGCTACTCGCTTAACTTCGGAGTTCCCATGGAACCCAAAGCCAGTGAGCTCCCAAAAGGCCTCATGCTAGGTAGGATGAGAATATACATTTAAGGATCAGTCCCCTGGGCGATGTGGGATGTTACAATCCACCCCCCTTAGGGGCCCGACGTCCTCGTCGGCACATTTCCGGCCAGGGATAGGTTCTGATACCAATGTCACATCCCGGCCCAGGTGGGACCACTTCCCGGGCCTGCTCCACCACCGTAGCACGATATTGTCCGCTTTGGGCCCCGACCACGCCCTCACGGTTTTGTTTCTGGGAACTCACACGAGAACTTCCCGATGGGTCACCCATCCTGGGAGTGCTCTCGTGCGCTACTCGCTTAACTTCGGAGTTCCCATGGAACCCGAAGCCAGTGAGCTCCTAAAAGGCCTCGTGCTAGGTAGGGATGGGAATATACATTTAAGGATCACTTCCTTGGGCGATGTGGGATGTCACAATCCACCCCCCTTAGGGGCCCGACGTCCTCGTCGGCACACACGCGACCAGGGTTAGGCTCTGATACCAATGTCACATCCCGGCCCGGGTGGGACCACTTCTCGGGCCTGCTCCACCACCGTAGCACGATATTGTCCGCTTTGGGCCCCGACCACGCCCTCACGGTTTTGTTTTTGGGAACTCACACGAGAACTTCCCGATGGGTCACCCATCCTGGGAGTGCTCTCGCGCGCTACTCGCTTAACTTCGGAGTTCCCATGGAACCCGAAGGCAGTGAGCTCCCAAAAGGCCTCGTGCTAGGTAGGATGGGAATATACATTTAAGGATCAGTCCCCTGGGCGATGTGGGATGTTACAATTCACCCCCCTTAGGGGCCCGACGTCCTCGTCGGCACATTTCCGGCCAGGGATAGGCTCTGATACCAAATTGTCACATCCCCGCCCGGGGTGGATCACTTCCCGGGCCCGCTCCACCACCGTAGCACGATATTGTCCGCTTTGGGCTTACCATTCCCTCACGGTTTTGTTTTTGGGAACTCACGAGCAACTTCCCAGAGGGTCACCCATCCTGGGATTGCTCACGAGCAACTTCCCAGTGGGTCACCCATCATAGGATTGCTCTCGCGCGCTACTCGCTTAACTTCGGAGTTCCCATGAACAAAACCGTGAGGGAATGGTAAGCCCAAAGCGGACAATATCGTGCTACGGTAGTGGAAGCGGGCCGGGGAAATGGTCCCACCCGGGTCGGGATGTGACATTGGTATTAGAGCCTAACCCTGGTCGCGTGTGTGCCGACGAGGACGTCGGGCCCCTAAGGGGGGTGGATTGTGACATCCCACATCGCCCAGGGAAGTGATCCTTAAATGTATATTCCCATCCTTACCTAGCACGAGGCCTTTTAGGAGCTCACTGGCTTCGGGTTCCATGGGAACTCCGAAGTTAAGCGAGTAGCGCACGAGAGCACTCCCAGGATGGTTGACCCATCGGGAAGTTCTCGTGTGAGTTCCCAGAAACAAAACCGTGAGGGCGTGGTCGGGGCCCAAAGCGGACAATATCGTGCTACGGTGGTGGAGCAGGCCCGGGAAGTGGTCCCACCCGGGCCGGGATGTGACAAATATGCAAGACTGATTAAGCTTTGCGAAAACCTTATGAAAAACCATGCAACCGTTGAGAGCGTGACATTCGCCTTAAGTGAACTTACAATTCTGAGCCACATGTAGCACTACTCAATTTCAGAGTGACATTACAACATAAATTACATCCAGTTAATTGTCTAAACATCCTAATGATGATCAAGCACTAAGATATAAAGATAGTTTAAAATAGTGAATGACAATTTAAGGTAAGCATGCATAACAACATAAGTAAATTGAAAAAAAAAAAAAAAAAAACAAACCTACATATTCATGCTAAGGCTCTTAGCCTCGTCTTAGAGAAAATTAGTTAGAAATAATTATAAGGGTAAATTACCGTTTGATCCCCTGAACTATTGGTGCAGTCCAAATTGACCCCCTAAACTATTTTTTTGGTAAATTAGCCACCAGAACTATTTGAAATAAGTCTATTGACCCATTGTCATTAGATTTTGTCCACTATTATGTCAAATTCAAGGGCAAATTAGTCCTCTTATCATCAATTCTTACATGTCACTTATAACCACCAATAAATTCTAACATGTGGAAACATAATAATGTGTAATGACAATGTGAAATGGTACGTTATGCAAACATTTGGTTTCTTTATGTTTCTTATTATGATATAAGTTTTTGAATTATTCCGTGTCCACGTGTCATTATTTTATTGGTAGTTATAGCTGATAAGTTAGAATGGGTGATAAAAAATTAATTTGCCTTTGAATTTGACGGAACATTGGAGGAAATCTAACGACAAGGGGCTAATTGGCTTATTTTAAATAGTTCAGGGGGTTAATTTATCAAAAAAAAAAAAGTTCAGGGGATTAATTTATCAAAAAAATAGTTCAGGGGAACAATTTCAACTAGGATAATAGTTTAGAAGGTCAAACCGTGGTTTACCCTAATTATAATGGAATATCAAAATTGTTATTAAGATGAAAAGAGGGAAAAACCCCTAGTGGTACAAAGTTGCAAATCGTCAAAGCTCTCCTATTCCTAAGCCAAATTCCAAAGTAAATTTGTCTCTGGTTTACAAACTTTTGTAATATATGGTAGACTAGAAAATTTAACTCTTACTTAAATTAGGTTCCCCACAAAATTTTGAAAAAACTAGTACAATAATGTAACATAATAATAAATCCTAATTCAACGCATACTCAAACTATGAAGATTCTTTCCTTTTGACTAACCAAATCTCCATAGATTTAGTCCTATGAAGTGTCATTGGAAATCTTAAGATGTCCTATTCGAAGTTGTAGAAGGAAATTTCCCCAGCAAAAGGCATCTTTAATAAATTTTCACCCAAACAAGTATGAAAGGTCAATCTGTCCATTACTTCACACATGCACTCTTTTAATCACTACGACCAAACGACTTGGATTTACAGCTGAGATTTTGACACATTCAACTTCAATGCTTTGAGAATTTGCTCTAATTTGAATTACTCAAAACCTCCATTTTTCATTGCCTGCCCATCAGAATAGATTCTGCTACACCTTTAATAAAAAAATACAAAAGGAATATATCAAAACTCTCCAAAAGTACATACAAAATCCACTTACGAATAGGGTAATATATAATATAAAAATGACTCGTCAATAAGCATCAAATCTTCTTCCTTTATGTCCAATTTTAGATAGAGTTTTCTTGTTCATCGTCTCAAACCTATGAAGCCCTGATTCTTCACATCAGTGTCGATTCACACTCTTAGATTGGGAGTGGGAGTGAGAACGACGGATGTCCTCGAAGAGCAGTGGGTTTGAGTTGAGGAATGTGTTACGATTGTGATTGCCTTGATCACAATTAGAAGCTTATGATTACTTTAATTAGTAGTTAATCAAGTTGTTTAGTTATATGGCCAACTGGCACCTTGTGACAGTGGAAGCATACATGTAACCAATTGGGCGTGTTAGTTCCTAACAGTCATTTGAAAAATAAAATACAATATTACAAAAACATTTCAGCTTTCTCTCTCTATCTCTCCCTAATTCCTTCCTTTTCTCAATTGTTAGCTGGTTAACTTGTGAGTTGAGAAAAGGTCACAAAGTCTTGATTCAATCATTGGTATCATCCTCTTCACCTTGGACTCCTCCTTGTATGAACCGCCATACCACAAACTCTTGCTTAATCACCATGGATGCTCGTTTGGAAGCCATTAAAGCTG